ACCATCACTTTGACTCAGTCGGTGCAGCAGGTCCTTCAGCGGTTCGGCTACCAGTTCTCCACTACACAGCCTACTCCACTTGCTGTGGACCACAGGCTCACTACTCCTTCCTCCGATTACCCAGTTGAGCCTGATGTGTGCTACACGGAGCTTGTGGGTTGCCTCATATACCAGATGACGTGTACACGACCGGACCTTGCCTACCCTCTCGACACAAACGAAGTGAGGGATACAAAGATTTCACGATTACGATATGTATATATATAAAAAATAAAAATAAAAATAAAAAAAGAGGAAGAAGAATGGAAGAAACAAGGGAGGGAAGAAAGCACGTGATAAACAGGAGGCAAGGAAGGAAGGAAGGAACAAGGGAGGACATAAAGTGAGACAAGATAGAAAGTAGTGTGAAGAAAATGGAATGCTAAAAAGGTTCGGAGAAATAAACAGAGGGAAGAATACAGAAAATTGCCAGTCATGCGCGTTGGTGGGAAAGCCAAGGAAGACGCAGCGAATAGTGCGAGGAGAGAGCTTGCATCTCATCATGCCTCGCCTGTTGCTCGTAGTCGTCGTGCTCCCCGTGTTCGTCCTCCACCTGTCCCCGGCACTCACACCATGGCACTTCGTCCTTCCTCTGTTCCACGGCGTGCTGTCCTGCCGTTACCTCCTGCGTCTTCTCTTCCTGGCGTCCCTGACATTGAGTCTGGCCTTGCTCGTGCTGCTTGTCCGACTGTCACTCGTTGTCTCGCCACACTTGTCATTGACCCAACTTTTGAGTCTGCGTCTGCCTTAGTCACTGAGCTCGTTGACTTTGCTGCTACGTGCCACCTTGACTACTTCGCGAGTCTTGTTTCTGACTCTGACAGTCCTCCGTCCGTCAGGGGTGAGCTTGCCGTTGGCTGTGACGTCCTTCAGGACACACAGTTTGAGCTGGAGTGCCTCGCAACTGCTGTACCTCATCTCACTACAATGCTGCTTGCCCCTGAGGGAGACCCGGATGCACTGGACATCCCGACCCGGCACTCTTACGCAGAGGCGATCACGGGCCAGTACTCCTCTCAGCGGCAGACACCCATGGACGCAAAGATGGCATCCTGGAAGTCTACAGGCACCTACATCGACGCAGTTCCCCCTCCTGGGGCGAACATAGTCCATGACATGTGAAGCGGCCGCTAGGTTCCCCGCCTGCCTTCTAGGCGCGATACGTTGCACGAGGCTTCAGTCAGCGTCAGGGGGTTGACTTCTTCCCGACCTTCTCCCCCACCCCGAAGATGACCACTCTTCGGGTGTTACTGCACGTTGCAGCACAGCGTGACTACGAGCTGCACTTGCTCGACTTCTTCACAGATTTTTTGCAGGGCAGCCTCCACGAGGAGATCTGGTTGTGCCGCCCACCTAGCTTCAGTGTGTCGTTTCCTGAGGGTACCCAGTAGAGCCTCCGGCGGCCAGTCTACGGTCTCCGTCAGGCGCCCCACGAGTGGCACGATACACTGAGGACGACACTTGCGGCTCTTGGTTTTGCTCCTTCGACTGCCGACCCGTCGCTGTTTCTGCGCACCGACCCTTCTCTGCCGTTGTTCTACATCCTCGTGTACGTCGACGACTTGGTCTTTGCGACTGCTGACACTGAGGCACTGGCCCTTGTGAAGGCGGAGCTGCAGAAGAGACACACCTGCACTGACCTGGGTGAGCTGCGGAGCTCTCTTGGCTTGCATATCACCCAGGACAGAGCCGCTCGCACCATCACTCTGACTCAGTCACACATGGTGCAGCGGGTTCTTCAGCGCTTACGCTTTCAGTTCTCCTCGCCACTGTCTACTCCTCTGCCTACGGGCCACTCGCTCTCAGCTCCACCTTCGGACGAGTCCGTAGAGCCGAGTTTGCATATCCAGAGCTTTTGGGTTGCCTCATGTACCTGATGACGTGTATTCGTCCTCACCTCGTGCACCCTCTCAGCATCCTGGCGCGCTACGTTGCGTCCGGGAGACACCGCCCTGAGCACTGGCGGGCTTCTAGGAGGGTGCTGCGCTACTTGGCCAATACCTCAGGCTTGGGGCTTGTGCTTGGAGGACGGGGTCGAGTTGTGCTCACTGGGCACTCAGTCGCTTCTTGGGCTGACGACTAGACGACCCACAGGTCTTCACAGGGCTTCGGCACTTGCTCTGTTTCGTGGAGGTCCACTCGCTCGTCTTCTGTGCTTAGCTCCAACTGTTGGGCCGAAATATACGTTAGGGCTATGGATGCGCAGGAGTTGAGCTAGCTGACCTACTTGCTAAACGACTTGGGTGAGCGGCCTCGTTCTCCTCCGGTTCTGTACGTCGGCAACAAGGCCATGATTGCCTTGTGTCGGGAGCAGTGACTGAAGCACAGAACGAAGCACATTGCCCTTCGTTACTTTCTCTTGAGAGAACTGCAGCAGCGTGGTCAGCTTCTCCTTTTCTACGTTGCCTCAGAGGCCAACACTGGTGATAATTTCACCAAGGCCCTTGGGTCTGGCGATCATGAGCGTTTCTGTACTGCTTTTGGGCTTGAGCCCACTCTGCCTCACTTGTTTGTCTCTTGATCTCGCCTTTTACTTGTTGTACCATGTTATATACTTATACCGTATAGTTCCGGCTAGAAGACCCGCCGGTAAGAAGGTCCCCCGGGACTCTTGAATGGGTAGGGGGACTCTTTTTGTGGCAGGTTTTGGAAGGACCCCCCTTTAGCCCCTAATCATCATAAGACCCCCCTTTTCTGTATACAGTAGTTATAATTGCTATTGTGCGTTAGCTTTTACTGGCATAAATTCGAATTCTGACACACTTTTTGTGTCAGACTCGAATTCTGACACTTCATTTGTGTCAGACTCGAATTCTGACACAGATCTGACGCGCCGCACGCGCGAAGTTCGCGCGAATTCGTTACGAATATAAGACCCCCCCGCCCCAAATTGAGTCGTACACCCTAAATAGCAGATTGATAATTGATAAATAGGTTACCCCGGGTCTTAAAAAATTGGTGCCGCCATAATGTCCACCCAAGCACAATTTCCAGCATTTGTAGAGAGTCCCCCAGGTCTTCTAGCCGGAATTATACGGTACCTGCTTGTTTACACTTGCTAGGTTGTGATCCTTGTACTGCTATTGATGTTATAACATCGCATGTGAACTGGCCTGTTGGCCGCTTACTTGTGTTCGGACTGTGTGGTGATCTCGAGATCCACTCCGAGCTCTGCTTTGCTGCTACTCTTGACTGGTCTTGTGACCATCCTGTTGTCCCCCACTTAGCCTATGGGGGTGTTGCAAATTAAAGACATTCTTGTTCGGCTGTAGTGGGGTACACAATATAGAGTACACACATTTTAGGGCTTCATACTTGTTTCCTTGCATCCTCTTTGCTAATAATTGTTCTCTCGTACGTTCTTAACAACTAATAACGGAAGGTCAGGAGAACAATGGAAAAGGCAACAGAAAGGTAAGAAAAGAACGATAAATTGCGGAAGAAGAAACAGTATTGAAGCCAATATTAACCTATAAGAGGAAGGAAGGTAATTATTAAGTATGGCATTTCAACCAAGTACGAACCCACCTAGCTACGAAGGCACATATGTGCTAGGAGAACTAATGAACGGCTGTCGACTCTGGTTAGAAAGAAAAGGAACGAACAAAACAGTGAATTTAAGGCGAGAATACATTGAACGAGTGAATCTGAACCGTCCAGTATCCCCGCCGTCTAGTCCACCGCCATTCCCACTCTGCCCATTGGGGCCATCGCAACGCAATTCAACACCCAATCGCATGGCCATGAGTCGACGTGATGCGATGACCCTCTCCAGGATCGAATGAGGTGGAACTAGGCTCAAAGGAATCCGAGGCATGGAGTCAAGGACTTCGTTGCACCTGGTTTCCGGTTAAATGGAAATTCAATTCGAACATCTCCCAATTTCAGTCACGAACTGTGACCGGATTTCAGCAATTGCTGGCGATCAGTCATGGGACGCGAACGATTCTGGTTACCCTACCAGAGTACAAACAGACGTCAAATTATGAAATACTGTACCTCCCTTTGGCCGTCGGACATTCGATGACTGAAAACGTGGAACTGTATCAAGCCGAAGAGCGGTTCACATGCTTTCCCAAACCAAACGCGTAATTACTGCACAGAGCGGATCATTCTTTTCTTTCTTGAGAATAGTGTAAGATCCCAGGAATGTGCTCCTAGATCCCGCATCATCTGGGATGCTCCTAGAATGTGCTCGTTCTGCTGCGGCATTCACCGCCGCAGAGCGTTTTCCTGAAGTCTATGTCACGCGCACTGACGTAATGATTGGGACGCATGAGTCCTAGCTACCGGCTGTGACTCCAGCGGTATGCGTCCAGCACGAGAGGTGAACGCCGCTTGCCTCGCGCGAGTGATTTTGACATTACCCGATCACATTATTCCGTCAGGATCAAAATCGCGCGTCTGGTTCGCCATGGCACAGAATCGAGCACGCGTTGAGCCATCAGGTGGGAGCACGGGGACCGCGCTGGGTGCAGCTAGCCCCGGCCAGGCACAAGCTCGGATATCGAGCGAGAAAAAACAGGCCTCGTGCCGTCGAATGTTCCGATTTCTCATCGACAGCAAGTTCATCATCATTTCGTCGATCTATCCCGCAGCATCAGGCGTCCATCAAGCACACAGTCGCGGCCAGCAGTGGCCCTTGCTCGCACCCGTTGCTCGCAGCCGTGCCCCGGCACGCCTTTCTCCGTTAGAGTTGACTCGCGAGCCACCAAGGCGGTTGCCTGAGGCCCACCCGCTCACCCATATCGTTCAGCCATGCCGCGCGCTCTTTCGCTGTGCGATTCTCGAGAACCGTCGGCACTGCGGCCTGGAGAAGGACAACGTGAAAAGTTCTGAAGCCTATTTAGTGAGGAGCGCCACTGATAGGCTTACAGTGCTTGCAGAAAGGAATGAACTGCGTTTCCTCATTTGAAGCCTCGCGCACCGTAAGCCTAATCGTTTTTTCCCCGCACGGCGCAATGAGCTGCTTGCACGACCCGCACGGCGCGTTCAGCTGGGCGGACGGCCCGCTGGGGAGCGGCAGCCCGTCCTTCTTCGCCTCCGACCTCGTCGCCGCGCATCGCCCTTCGCCCTTCGCGCTCCTCGCACCATTCCCCATGTGCGCCGACTCACGCGCCGCGCTGGCGAGCTCGAGTGTGCGCGAGCTGATGGAGCGATGCGAAGCTGAACGGCACGACACGTGGCAGCAGCGCGTTACGCATTAGCGCCAGTGGAACGGCGCGGCCGCCCAGCCGAACCACTCCGCTGCGCTCCCCGTGCGCGCCCCGGAGAGCTCCGCGCGGGTCCCAGCGTGGGGCGCAGCATCAGGCGGCGCTTTGACCCACTCGCAGCCACTGCTGGCCGCAGCAGCATCGGCTACAGCAGAGCTGTGGGGCGGCAATGAAACCGCACACGCACAAGCAAGAAGCGCTCTTAACGGGCTATGCAGCCCCGCTCACAGTTGGCGAGAGGCAGCAGAGGCGTGTCACACACACTCGCCTTCACGCCGCGGTGGCGCTGCTGCCGCGAGCGCCACTGGCGGTGCAGACGAGTCGGCGAGCAGGGCTGCTGCTGCTAGTGCAGGTGGGGGGCAGGGTGCGTGTGGGTGTACCGCGGTGGAAAGGGAGGACGCGAGAAGGACCCCATCGGACCGTGGCAAGCTTAGGCGCTCCCTAACAGCCGGAGCAGCCATGCTGGCGGGAGGAGGAGAGGAGACGGGCGACAGAGCAGATTTGGGCGCGTGGCGTGCAGTTAGTGGCGCCGGGGGGAGCCAAGCCACCACTTCCGCACTCACCTCCTCTCGACACCTCCAATCCTGTGTGTCCGCTGCTGCTGCTCCCTTAGAGACTGGTGAGGAGGGTGAGGAGGGATGGATGTGGGAGTACCAGGGGTGCTGCGAGCACAGCAGTTGGAACTACAGCAGTGCTGCCGCCCACTCCCCGGAGACACACCGCCACTCTCGCAGCACTGCGCGCACCACTAGCTCCTCCTTCTTCTCCCCGTCGCACCACTCGTTCAGCCCTGCCCACGACCTGCTGCCTTCCCCTGCTTCCACCCACCTCTCTGCCCTGCATCCATGGTGTGCCGCCGTCTCTCGTGCCCCGTGCTGTGCTGTGCGCTCTTCTGCAGCTGCCACGGGTGGTGCCGTGTGCGCGGCAGCAGGATGGACACCATGGAATCACGGCGCTCCCCCATCCACACCTGCCACACCTGCACTGCCGCCCATCCCCGTTGCGCCGCCCAGCACTGCCCCTCCTCCGCCGTCCACGCCCAGCCCGGCACAGCTGCAGCAGGCCTTCCCGTGTGCTGCTGTCAAGGCTGTTGTCAAGGGTGCTGTGGGCGATGAGGGCAAGACGGGCAGGTGGTGGGCGAGGCTCACACGGCCGTGGTGGCGGCAGCACACGGACGGGCGGAGGCGGGCAGGGAGGGCCCGCACCCTCTGTGAGCTGCTCACCTGCTGGGTGCTCTCATCATGACCTCCCCGCGCCATGCCACCGATGATTATTGACCTATCCCCTCAGATTTGGAGAGGGGCTTAATTCAACCCAACACTTTTCAGAAGGCATTGTGAACCCGCCCGTCATAACCAGCCTTCCTGTATTATGGGCCCCATGGGTTAGCTTTTGGGAGGGAATAACATCTGGCCAAAGACGGTCATGCAGTAATCTGTACAATTTTGTATGGTTTGAAAAGTTTCTCGCCTTGTGTGTACCTTTTCAAGCATCTTAACTCTGACATTATCGAAGATGATGCAATTGCAAGCTGTTGGTGCTGCTGATGCAGTGTGCAAGTCCTCTGCAGCCACTCGACAATACAGTACATCAGTTCTATTATGCACTACGGTAGGACTGCATCAAATCAAGTTAGCTTGAGTGAATCAGCATTGCACACATTCAGACGGTGGGGAAGGAGGGGTCGATGTGAGCCCCCCAAGCGAGCATGCCACCGTCCACACTCACAGCCGACCCCACACCCGCCTCCCTCAGCACTCCCACCCCCCTCTGTGAGTCGTTGCCCCGCCGGCACACCACAAACACCGCCGCCTCCGCCCCTACCCCTCCCTCCCCCCCACGCCCAGCTCCTTGCTGCTCCTCTGCCGCTGCCGCCTGCTCACCGGGCGCTGCAGGTGCCTGCTGTGATGATGTGGACGATGCTGACGTGGCAGCTGCCCGGGCGGCTGATTTGATCTCGTCCAGGGCGGCCGGCAGAGTGGCGAGGGGCGTGTTGATGGCGCCGGGCAGGTGGGCGATGGAGAAGAGGTGGGGCGGCCGCACGTCCAGCAGCACGTGTGGGCGGCGCTGCTGCCGGGCGGCGAGGAGAGTGGCGGGCGGCACTCGTTGGCTGGGAGGGATGAGAGAGAGGGACTTGGGGCCCTGGAGTTGGGCAAGGGGGGGAGGGGTGGGAACAAGGGGGGGGAGAAGGGGGGTGGGAGGGGGTGATGGAGGGGATGAGGCGAAGACGAGAGTGGGAGAGTGGAGTGAGTGTGAGGGTGATGATGGAGATGCAGGTAGATGGGCGAGGGAATGCATGCAAGGGATCCCATGGGATGGGATGGGATGGATGGATGGGATGGGATGGGATGGGATGGGATGGGATGGGATGGGATGGGATGGGATGGGATGGGATGGGATGGGATGGGATGGGATGGGATGGGATGGGATGGGATGGGATGGGATGGATGGATGAGATGGGATGGGATGGGACGGCATGTGGGATGGCACATGGTGCTTGTTGCTAGAATGTAATGAGGGGTTGTGTTGAGCTGGTCGCATTCACATCGCAGTTCGAACTCCCACACCAAACCTTTGACCGCCACCAAACTGTGGTCGTCCATGCCTGGCGCTTGGTTTAGGAGAGAGGCGAGGAGCAGGAGGGAGGTGAGGAGCAGGAGGGAGGCGAGGAGCGGGAGGGAGGGCGGCACCTGGTCGTGGAAGGGCGAGGAGGTGAAGGCCTGGTAGTCGAAGGCGCTGATGCTGTGTGCCGTCATGCTGGCGCCCTCCCCACACGCCACACACGATGGCGCCCTGCTGCGCAGCTTCACCTGGTCGTCGCAGAGGGGGGCACAGGGGAGCAGAGGGGGGCACAGGGAAGCAGAGGGGGGCACAGGGAAGCAGAGGGGCAGCAGCGGTGGCAGAGGGAAGGGCGCATGGCGTGAGGGCAGAGGTAGAGAGGGTGGGCACAGGCATGGTGGCATTGTGGATGGTGATGAGAGCATAGGACGCGTGGATGTCAATGCGGCATGCATGCATGTACAAGGGAAGAGATGGGCCTATATTGAACTTAACCTTGTTTGTGTCTTGTATTGGTGGGAGGGGCATGCATGGGTGGGAGGGGCATGCATGGGTGGGAGGGGCATGCATGGGTGGGAAGGACATGCATGGGTGTGAGCGACATGCATGGGTGGGCAGGGCATGCATGGGTGGGCAGGGCATGCATGGGTGGGCAGGGCAGGGGGGCGAGCGGACGTTGAGGAAGGAGGCGGCGAGGGCGTCGTAGACGAGCATGCGCGCTGACAGGGGCGACCCCACGCCCGCCACCACCTTCACCGCCTCCACTGCCTGCAACACGCCTATCACCCCCGGCACTGCCACACGCGAGCGAGCAGATGAGATCAGGGGGGCGGGGAGATGGGGTGCATGGGAACAAGAGTGAAGCCATGGGTATAAAAAGGTGGGGAGAGAAATACGGAGAGAGAAGCGGGGCAGGCAGGGCAAGCAGAGGGGTGCGCACAATGGCATGCACATAAGGGCTCCAATCACGGGAACAGTTCATGTTGGCTATTCGTGGGTGTGGGGCAAGTGGGCCAGTGCTGCTGCTCCATGTTGCTCCATTGTTTCCACCATCTCCCTCCCAGCACATGCGCCGCACACCTCCTCCCCTCATACACATGGCCAACCAACCGAATGACAAGACAACCTCGCCTACTAGTGACTCGGATCCTCGTGCGACCAGGCAACTCAGAGCCAGCTCGTGATGGCAGCTAGCGCTTGAGAGGCTTTGGTTTGCGCATTGCTCTCCAATTGGGTTGAAATTATCTCAGAATGCAGGATAGGAAGAAAAACACCGTGACCCTGCACCCCTCACCTGCCCATCCCTCACCTGCGCCCATCCCTCACCTGCGCCCATCCCTCACCTGCGCCCATCCCTCACCTGCGCCCATCCCTCACCTGCGCCCATCCCTCACCTGCGCCCATCCCTCACCTGCGCCCATCCCTCACCTGCGCCCATCCCTCACCTGCGCCCATCCCTCACCTGCGCCCATCCCTCACCTGCGCCCATCCCTCACCTGTTCCCATCCCTCACCTGCTCCCATCCCTCACCTGCTCCCATCCCTCACCTGCTCCCATCCCTCACCTGCTCCCATCCCTCACCTGCTCCCATCCCTCACCTGCGCCCATCCCTCACCTGCGCCCATCCCTCACCTGCGCCCATCCCTCACCTGCGCCCATCCCTCACCTGCGCCCATCCCTCACCTGCGCCCATCCCTCACCTGCGCCCATCCCTCACCTGCGCCCATCCCTCACCTGCGCCCATCCCTCACCTGTTCCCATCCCTCACCTGCTCCCATCCCTCACCTGCTCCCATCCCTCACCTGCTCCCATCCCTCACCTGCTCCCATCCCTCACCTGCTCCCATCCCTCACCTGCTCCCATCCCTCACCTGCTCCCATCCCTCACCTGCTCCCATCCCTCACCTGCGCCCATCCCTCACCTGCGCCCATCCCTCACCTGCGCCCATCCCTCACCTGCTCCCATCCCTCACCTGCTCCCATCCCTCACCTGCTCCCATCCCTCACCTGCTCCCATCCCTCACCTGCTCCCATCCCTCACCTGCTCCCATCCCTCACCTGCTCCCATCCCTCACCTGCTCCCATCCCTCACCTGCTCCCATCCCTCACCTGCGCCCATCCCTCACCTGCGCCCATCCCTCACCTGCGCCCATCCCTCACCTGCTCCCATCCCTCACCTGCGCCCATCCCTCACCTGCTCCCATCCCTCACCTGCGCCCATCCCTCACCTGCGCCCATCCCTCACCTGCGCCCATCCCTCACCTGCGCCCAGCACGCCACTCACCTGCGCCCAGCACGCCACTCACCTGCGCCCAGCACGCCGCTATCGGAGCAGCGCTGGCAGGCGGAGGTGGGAGGCGGCGAGGGGAAGAGGCAGCGGTAGCACGGCGCCGTGGGCGAGGCACAGTACACCGTTATCTGCGGGGAGGAGGGGGGTGAGGGGGGATAGTGGAAGGGGGGGAGCTTGCGAGGTGGGAAATAGGCCGGACTGCAGTGGCATGGAGTGCAGCATGCGGCACGGTGCAGTGGTAGCAGGGAGCAACGGGGGAGGGGGGGCGTGTGGGGGGAACGGGAAAGAGGAGGTGCGGGAAGAGAGAATAGATGAAAAGAGTTAGGAGAGAAACAGGGAGAGAAAGAGTTTGTCCATCTGGCTGTTACGAACGGTGAGGCGGCAAGGAGGTAAGGCTGGGAAGAAACAATGGGGCAGCCTCAGAGTGCGCTGCTGCTCTCCACCCACGCGTGCCCCCAACCCACACCTCCCACACTCCCGCCTTCACCCCGCCTTCCTAACCGCACCGCTCACCCAAGCCCTCCTGCCAGCCCCCTTGGCAGCCCCGCTTGCAGCCCCCCTGACAGCCCTCTCGTCCGCCCCACCTCTCCATGCCCCCATCCCCCATCCCTTACCCTCCTCCAAACCAAACCCATCCACCTCCCCGCACCACCTGCCCTTGTGCGCCTCACCTGCCCTTCCGTGCCCAGCGCTGCTCCTGACACGAGCGGCTGCACCAAGGCACAGGGGGGGGGAGGAGAGAGGTGAGGCACGCACACAGGGCGAGCGGCAAGGGGTTGCGAAGACGGTGACAGTGTAAACATGAACACACATCAAGTCGACCTATGGCAACTCAGATGTCCAGTTGAAGGAAGATGGAAAGAACATGGAACAGCAGTGCGTGCGTCACTCACTTCATCCTACCTGCTCTCGCCTTTCATGCCTGTGCCAGCTACCACTTCCAAGTTGAACATCAGGTGATTCACTGGAATGCTGCACTCTCCCACTGCACTGCGCTCACCCGTGTGCCGTCGGTCGCACCTTGCGGGCGGCGACAGCAGCGTCGCTGGCGAGGTAGCGCGTGGCCACGTTGTCAGACGCGTCCACCAGCACATCGTACCTGATGGGGGGGGTGGCGGATGGGAGGGGGATGGGGGACGGTGGGGCAGGGCGGTGATGGGGGAGATGGGGGTGATGAGGACGGATGAGGGAGGTATGAGGGCGGGAGGAGGGAAGTATAGGAGGTATGGAGGATGGAGGGAGGGGGGATGTGGGACATTGTGTGCGGCTGAGCAGGTGTGGGCGAGATGGAATGAGGGAATGACGCATTCAGATGCTGCTTCACACGACATGCAGAGGTGCGGGCAGCAGGAAGGTCAGAACGCGAGGGAGAACAAGAAGAGGGAGGGAGAGAGGGAGGGAGGGAGGGAGGGAGGGAGGGAGGGAGGGAGGGAGGGAGGGAGGGAGGGAGGGAGGGAGGGAGGGAGGGAGGGAGGGAGGGAGGGAGGGAGGGAGGGAGGGAGGGAGGGAGGGAGGGAGGGAGGGAGGAGGGAAGTGGGAGCAAAGGCTGGACGAGGGAGTGTGAATCAGCAAGTGGTGTGTTGGTGATGCATGCGGGGCAGTGGGGCGGGGTGAGAGGCATGGCGGGGAGAGGCATGGCGGGGAGAGGCATGGCGGGGAGAGGCATGGCGGGGAGAGGCATGGCGGGGAGAGGCATGGCGGGGAGAGGCATGGCGGGGAGAGGCATGGCGGGGAGAGGCATGGCGGGAAGAGGCATGGCGGGGAGAGGCATGGCGGGGAGAGGCATGGCGGGGAGAGGCATGGCGGGGAGAGGCATGGCGGGGAGAGGCATGTCGGGGAGAGGCATGGCGGGGAGAGGCATGGCGGGGAGAGGCATGGCGGGGAGAGGCATGGCGGGGAGAGGCATGGCGGGGAGAGGCATGGCGGGGAGAGGCATGGCGGGGAGAGGCATGGCGGGGAGAGGCATGGCGGGGAGAGGCATGGCGGGGAGAGGCATGGCGGGGAGAGGCATGGCGGGGAGAGGCATGGCGGGGAGAGGCATGGCGGGGAGAGGCATGGCGGGGAGAGGCATGGCGGGGAGAGGCATGGCGGGGAGAGGCATGGCGGGGAGAGGCATGGCGGGGAGAGGCATGGCGGGGAGAGGCATGGCGGGGAGAGGCATGGCGGGGAGAGGCATGGCGGGGAGAGGCATGGCGGGGAGAGGCATGGCGGGGAGAGGCATGGCGGGGAGAGGCATGGCGGGGAGAGGCATGGCGGGGAGAGGCATGGCGGGGAGAGGCATGGCGGGGAGAGGCATGGCGGGGAGAGGCATGGCGGGGAGAGGCATGGCGGGGAGAGGCATGGCGGGGAGAGGCATGGCGGGGAGAGGCATGGCGGGGAGAGGCATGGCGGGGAGAGGCATGGCGGGGAGAGGCATGGCGGGGAGAGGCATGGCGGGGAGAGGCATGGCGGGGAGAGGCATGGCGGGGAGAGGCATGGCGGGGAGAGGCATGGCGGGGAGAGGCATGGCGGGGAGAGGCATGGCGGGGAGAGGCATGGCGGGGAGAGGCATGGCGGGGAGAGGCATGGCGGGGAGAGGCATGGCGGGGAGAGGCATGGCGGGGAGAGGCATGGCGGGGAGAGGCATGGCGGGGAGAGGCATGGCGGGGAGAGGCATGGCGGGGAGAGGCATGGCGGGGAGAGGCATGGCGGGGAGAGGCATGGCGGGGAGAGGCCATGGCGGGGAGAGGCATGGCGGGGAGAGGCATGGCGGGGAGAGGCATGGCGGGGAGAGGCATGGCGGGGAGAGGCATGGCGGGGAGAGGCATGGCGGGGAGAGGCATGGCGGGGAGAGGCATGGCGGGGAGAGGCATGGCGGGGAGAGGCATGGCGGGGAGAGGCATGGCGGGGAGAGGCATGGCGGGGAGAGGCATGGCGGGGAGAGGCATGGCGGGGAGAGGCATGGCGGGGAGAGGCATGGCGGGGAGAGGCATGGCGGGGAGAGGCATGGCGGGGAGAGGCATGGCGGGGAGAGGCATGGCGGGGAGAGGCATGGCGGGGAGAGGCATGGCGGGGAGAGGCATGGCGGGGAGAGGCATGGCGGGGAGAGGCATGGCGGGGAGAGGCATGGCGGGGAGAGGCATGGCGGGGAGAGGCATGGCGGGGAGAGGCATGGCGGGGAGAGGCATGGCGGGGAGAGGCATGGCGGGGAGAGGCATGGCGGGGAGAGGCATGGCGGGGAGAGGCATGGCGGGGAGAGGCATGGCGGGGAGAGGCATGGCGGGGAGAGGCATGGCGGGGAGAGGCATGGCGGGGAGAGGCATGGCGGGGAGAGGCATGGCGGGGAGAGGCATGGCGGGGAGAGGCATGGCGGGGAGAGGCATGGCGGGGAGAGGCATGGCGGGGAGAGGCATGGCGGGGAGAGGCATGGCGGGGAGAGGCATGGCGGGGAGAGGCATGGCGGGGAGAGGCATGGCGGGGAGAGGCATGGCGGGGAGAGGCATGGCGGGGAGAGGCATGGCGGGGAGAGGCATGGCGGGGAGAGGCATGGCGGGGAGAGGCATGGCGGGGAGAGGCATGGCGGGGAGAGGCATGGCGGGGAGAGGCATGGCGGGGAGAGGCATGGCGGGGAGAGGCATGGCGGGGAGAGGCATGGCGGGGAGAGGCATGGCGGGGAGAGGCATGGCGGGGAGAGGCATGGCGGGGAGAGGCATGGCGGGGAGAGGCATGGCGGGGAGAGGCATGGCGGGGAGAGGCATGGCGGGGAGAGGCATGGCGGGGAGAGGCATGGCGGGGAGAGGCATGGCGGGGAGAGGCATGGCGGGGAGAGGCATGGCGGGGAGAGGCATGGCGGGGAGAGGCATGGCGGGGAGAGGCATGGCGGGGAGAGGCATGGCGGGGAGAGGCATGGCGGGGAGAGGCATGGCGGGGAGAGGCATGGCGGGGAGAGGCATGGCGGGGAGAGGCATGGCGGGGAGAGGCATGGCGGGGAGAGGCATGGCGGGGAGAGGCATGGCGGGGAGAGGCATGGCGGGGAGAGGCATGGCGGGGAGAGGCATGGCGGGGAGAGGCATGGCGGGGAGAGGCATGGCGGGGAGAGGCATGGCGGGGAGAGGCATGGCGGGGAGAGGCATGGCGGGGAGAGGCATGGCGGGGAGAGGCATGGCGGGGAGAGGCATTGCGGGGAGAGGCATGGCGGGGAGAGGCATGGCGGGGAGAGGCATGGCGGGGAGAGGCATGGCGGGGAGAGGCATGGCGGGGAGAGGCATGGCGGGGAGAGGCATGGCGGGGAGAGGCATGGCGGGGAGAGGGGATACCTGGAAACGAGGTGGACAGCATTGGCGGGTGTGAAGCCGTGGCTGTGCGTCTCCACTGTGATGTCCGAATTCAACCTGCTCCCCCATGCATGCATCCATGCACCCACCCATCCACCCACACACCCACCCACGCACCGAGACACACACACACAACAACGCACGCGCCACATGCTCTCATGCACAGCTGTGATGGAAGGCTGCCATGGCTGCCTCAGAAGAGACGAGGCCCAACCCGTGCCCCGTGCCCCATGTTGTGCCACGCTCAGTGGGCGGGTCATCATTGTGCTCTCCACTCACTTGCCAGACACACAACAAATTTTCAAGCTGCCACCTGCTCCCAGCACATCACCTGGTGCCAGCTCAGCCTTACCTGGTGCCAGCTCAGCATCACCTTGTGCCAGCTCAGCATCACCTTATGCAGGCAGCAGCAGCGGACTCTGTCTTGGGGCGACCCACCGCCGCCTCCGAGTGGATGATCTGCGCGCCTCACCCACAGACAGACAGGCAGACAGGCAGGCGGGCAGGCAGGCAGGCGGGCGGGCGGGCGGGCGGCCGGGCAGGCAGGCAGGCAGGGAGGGCATTGGAGGCCGCATGGGGCACGGTTGATGGGAGAAGGGGTGAGTGGAGGCATGAAACGGGTGTGAGAGCACAGGGAAGCGCCATGGCAAGCATGTATTTGACGCACAGCAACTGTGAAGGAGCGAAACGGCTTTCTGCCTGTTCTTATCATCTCACCTGTCTGTGCGTTTCATATTACCTGTCTGTGCGTTTCATCTCACCCGTCTGTGCGTTTCATCTCACCTGTCTGTGCGTTTCATCTCACCTGTCGGTGCGTTTCATGTCACCTGTCGGTGCGTTTCATCTCACCTGTCTGTGCGTTTCATCTCACCTGTCTGTGCGTTTCATCTCACCTGTCTGTGCGTTTCATCTCACCTGTCTGTGCGTTTCATCTCACCTGTCTGTGCGTTTCATCTCACCTGTCTGTGCAGGTTGGACAGCTCCACGTCATCCCTGTCCACGATGCCTATGCGCCCTGCATGCCATGCCATTCCGTGCCATGCCACAACAAAACACGCAACGGGCGAGCAGCAATGCGGGTGGAATGGCATGTGGGATGCATGAGAACACAGCGTGTTACACTGGGAGTGAGGAAGAGAGGAGAGAAGGAAGGGTGAGCACGTTAGTCCACAGGCATGGAGCGCCGCGGCCCACTCGTCGTCCTCCAAACCAACCAGCACCATAACATGGTGCCGCCCGCAGCAACCATCAACATCCACGTCACACTCACCCACTGCCCCCACTACCCGCCCGCACTGTCCCCCCACTCGCCCTGCCCCACTGCCCTCACCACCCTCACTGCCCCCACCCCTCGCCCCCCCGCACGCACCCACGCCGCACGCCGCGAGGTAGAGTGCAGCCGGCGACCCCAGCCCGCCCGCGCCCACCACCAGCACTGACCCGCGCCTCAGCCGCTGCTGCGCTGGTGGGGGGAGGGGGGAGGGGGGGGAGGGATTCGGGTTGGGGATAGGGAAGGGAGGGGAGCGGCAGAGGGTAGAGAAATGGTGGTCGGAAGAATGTTAGAGCAGAGGCAGTGAGAGGCGGTGAGAGGCAGTGAGAGGCAGTGAGAGGCGGTGAGAGGCAGTGAGAGGCAGTGAGAGGCGGTGAGAGGCAGTGAGAGGCAGTGAGAGGCGGTGAGAGGCAGTGAGAGGCAGTGAGAGGCAGTGAGAGGCAGTGAGAGGCGGTGAGAGGCAGTGAGAGGCAGTGAGAGGCGGTGAGAGGCAGTGAGAGGCGGTGAGAGGCAGTGAGAGGCGGTGAGAGGCGGTGAGAGGCAGTGAGAGGCAGTGAGAGGCGGTGAGAGGCAGTGTGACCTGCCACGCGGCACACCTGCGACGCCGAACGACGGCAGCATGAGCTGCCGCGAGTAGCGCTGCACCTCCCGCGCGCTCAACGCATGCTCCGCCTCGAAGCTGCGCCCCTCCTCGCCCGCCCCGCCACCCGCTTCTGCTCCCGCTCCCTCAAATCCTGCGTTCCCCCTTGGTAGCCCGCCATCGACTCTATCCCCGCCATTCCCCCCCTCCACCGCCCCAATCGCGGGGCCGTCACCAGTCAGCGAGCGCGCATTCGATTCCGCTCCGCTCGCGCTCTCCACTCCGCCGCTGCGCTTCCCTCCGCCCGCTTGCCCGCACTCCGCTTCTCGGGTCTCCTGCTTCCGCTTTCCGTCATCACCCCCTTCTCTCCGTCTCTCCCCCTCCGTCTCTCGCCCCTCGCCTAATCTCAACCGTCGATCTTCCTCATCCAACGCCCGCAACGCCTGCAGCAGCTCCTGCCGGCGCGCTTGCACCGCTCTCAGCGCGGCCACTCGCTCGCCCCCGATCGCGCCGTCTGAGTCGTCGCCCTGCATTGCTCGCCGCTGTCGTGGTGGCTGGTAACCGTGTGTCGCTGATTGTTCACCAAAACAATAGGCGAGTGAGTGGAAAAGCGGGGGTGAGGGTTTTGTTGCTGGTTTAGGGCGCGGGCGCTCCACAGATGGTTTCCGGGTTACCATGAATGTAACAGATTTAGTTTTGAGGACGACGCTTTAGTTGTGGAGGGATGCGACGATTGAATGGCCCAATGTGGAATCCGATCGAGTCGAGGCCCACGCCGATCGTGATGTGTGCTGACGAGCACGACACCCCACGGCGAGGTGTCGAAATGTGGATGGCGGGATTCTGGCGAAACTCCAAAATAAGCTAGAAAATGATACTCGGTTATGTCGCGAACATTACTTGTATCGGCAAAGTGGCAAATGAGTACTGTTGTTTCGTGGCGCTGCGCTCCTTGCATTACAACGGTTATTACAACCTGTAACCACTTGTTTCCTAAGCCCGCGGGAACGCAAATGTTCCGCGCCCTGATTGATCACCCTTGACCATGCGCACGTTCAGTGATCAGTGATCGCGCGCAGTATTGCCTGACCGCTACTTGTACCACACCTGAGTGAAGGTGCTAAGCAGCAGAGCCGTGTTACGCGGTAGACGCAGCACCGTGCTCTCATCCATCCCGTTCCGTCGCTCGCGCGCGTTTCGGCCACTCGCCTTCCGCCTCGCCTCGCCTCGCCTGACTTGCCCCGCCATGGATGCGGCGACGGTCGTGCTCTTGTCGCAGACGGACCACCACCTGTTCGAGGTGGCGCACCCGCGCCTCGACGTCTTCGACTCGCCGCGCTGCACGCGCCTCGCCACGCAGGCATGGACGGGCCGGCGACTCGTCGCTCTCGCCGCCGCCTCAATTGAACCCCGCCTTCGCGATCCGGAAATCGCTGCCGTTCACTTCGGCTCTCACGAGGCGCAGCGGCCGTTAGGGTCCGACGTGGCACGGGGCGCCATTCCGATCCGGCTGTGCGAGGACGCGTATCCCGGGTGGATATCGGCTGCTGACGTGGCTCAAGGCGCCATCCGTCGCCTATCCATTGGCTTAGAGAGTGCAACGCGAGAGGCAGGCGATGCGGGGGATAGGGACAGGCGGAAGGGCGGAGGAGGGGAGTGTGAAGGCGGAGGCATGGCAGAGAATGGGGGCATGGGGGTGGGCGTGGGGGAAGAGGCGGACTTGGCGGGAGAGAGAGAGGCGGCGGTTGCATTCGCGGAGGCGGCGAGGGCGGAGGGCGATCGGTACCTGTGGGGCGGCACCACGGGGCCGCACTTCGACTGCAGCGGCCTCGGTGCGTTCCCCTCGCCTCAATGTGCCGGCCCTCGCCCACGGCGCAGCACGCAGAGATGTTGGGTGCATGTGTAGCGGTGGGACAGCGCAGGCAGTGCGGGACATGGGCGCACAGGGAGGCACCATTGCTCCCCACCCGTGACCCTGCGACTCTGTACCGCGTGATTGTGTAACCCGCGTACAATCGGAGGCGGGTGCAGTGGAACGTGGGGATCTGGAGGCACGGCTGTAGCGCACTGTGCATTTAGTGGTGGATGTGGCAATTATGTATTGATGCACACGCACTGTAGGGGAGTGGGTGAGCTGGAGTGCGTGCGAGGTGAATGCGTGCTGACCGCCCTCATTCGTCCTCCATTGCCTCTGCCCCGCGCCTGTGTGTATTCGAGAGCCAATGCCGCACCTGCGTCTCCTGTGCGTGCTGCCCTTCCCTGCCCTGGCCTGTTCTGCCCTGCTCTGTTAAGCTGCAGCTGTGCTGTGCGCTGTTGCGTGCCACTGGTTGCACCAAGTTCTATTTCTCCGTCACTTGACTTTCTCCTCATCGTCCTCTTTGTGATCTCCCTTTCGTGCATGCACTGTGGCATGCTGGGTGCTGTGGCATGTGGTGTGCATGCGTGCAGTGCAGCGAGCGTATGCATCTACCGGAGTGTGGGTGCCTCGAGATGCCTTCCAGCAGGTCAGTGCGTGTGGTGCGTGTGCTACCCACTCCACTCACTGGAAGGCACTGCTTCAGGGCCCTTGAGCGCCACCTTGCTCAACTGCTGCACTGCCTGCTTCGCACACCCCTCCCTGCTCTCACACCCCTCCCTGCTCTCACACCCCTCCCTGTTCTCACACCCCTCCCTGTTCTCACACCCCTCCCTGCTCTCACCTCGCTCTGCGCTCACCTCTCTCTACTCTCACCTCTCCCTGCCGTCACGACTGTCTGTTCTCACCCGCCTCTCCGCTCTGCAGGAGGCTTTCTGTCAGCCAGTCAGTGTGGATCGCATCGCTAGAGGCGATCTGGTAAGCCACCCCACCACCCCCTGCCTGTTCTTGAGCCTCTCACCTCACCTGTCCGCCTCTGTGCTGCACGCCGCTTCCCACACCCTACCACCTCCCCCTTGCACACCTCCCCCTGCACACCTCCCCCTTGCGCACCTCCCCCTTGCGCACCTCCCCCTTGCGCACCTCCCCCTTGCGCACCTCCCCCTGCACACCTCCCCCTGCGCACCTCCCCCTTGCGCACCTCCCCCTGCACACCTCCCCCTGCGCACCCCCCCCTGCGCACCCCCCCCTGCGCACCTCCCCTTGCGGCGCACCTCACACCGCACAGCACCTCAATCATGCATCGCCACTCTGCTGTCACACCCACTTCCTTGGGGTTTCTGAGTCGACTAAAACATCACCTTTGCCGCCGCTCACATCCCCATGGTGCATGCGTCACTGGCTGGCTGGCAGGTGTTTTTCGGCACCACACGTGCCACACATGTCGGCATCGTCACCTGCACCAAGCACCACCGCCACCCACACCACCACACTCCACCACTCCGTACCAGATCCAGCCCCTCCCACACACGTGACAGCATCCCCTCCCACGTGCTTCACAGCAGCCCATCACCCGTGCGGCACATGGTGCAGGTGGCGTTCATGCACAGCTCGGGGCGCGATGACGGGCACGACGGCATCGTCTCTGACTGCCTGCGCCTGCTGCTGCTCTGCCCTCCGCTTTGCGCTCAACTGACTTGTGGCGACGCGCGTGTGTTGAGGGAGCATGCCCATGGCTCGGGTGACGCGTGTGTGTGCTGCCTTGGTGCGAGCAGCAAGGAGGGGTTGGGAGAGGAGCAAGAGTGCATGAGTGTAGAGGGAGGCAGCAGGGCGTGTGGGGCAGGCGAGGCAGGGGAGTGGAAGGTGGTGACGCGGTTGCACGTGGGCAGCAGGGAGGTGGGGGAGCAGGGGGGGGTGGGGGAGCAGAGGGAGGTGGGGGAGCAGGGGGGGGTGGGGGAGCAGGGGGGGGTGGGGGAGCAGAGGGAGGTGGGGGAGCAGGGGGAGGTGGGGGAGCAGGGGGAGGTGGGGGAGCAGGGGGAGGTAGGGGAGCAGGGGGAGGTGGGGGAGCAGGGGGAGGTGGGGGAGCAGGGGGAGGTGGGGGAGCAGGGGGGGGATGCCAGTATCCAGGCCGCCGTGGAGGGCGGGCAGGGGCACAGGTGGGAGGGAGGGATGACGCTGGTGCCAACGCACACTGCAGGCAGTGAGGACGCGGTTTTGGCAGAGGGAGGGGAGGGCGCAGCAGAGTGGGGGAAGGGCGTGGAGGTGCATGCGCGGGGCAGGGTGGCGGCGCACTATGGCGCCCAGCTGAGAGGCTTCGGGCGCGTGCTGCACGCCCTGCCACCGTCGCTTGCTCACATCCCCCCCCACCTCGTGCTGCCCCTTCAGGTGTAGCATAGCACCCCCGTGACTCCATGTGGCGGGGGATGGGATGTTCCCGTCGTTGCCGCCTTCCTTACTGGGGTTGGTTTGGCAGCATGGACCCCAGCAGCTGCTCTCCTATGGGTTACTGGTTCCTCAATCACTAGCAACTGTTGCTTTGATTCATTCATTATTGTAGCTACCGCTACCCTACTTAACCTAATCCACTTGTGGCTGACGGATACAAGTCATGCAAGGAATGCAGTGTTTCCAGAAGCCGAGTGAAAGATTCTTCTCAGAAATTCCCTTCCTCTGCTGTTTCGATGCAAAACAGTATGCACACTTGCATTGCATCCGCCCTTGCGGCCGTATGTAGCCCACCACCACCATGTGCTCAGTGTGCACACCGAGGCATGTCGTGACCACTTGGGACGGTAGCTACAGTGGAGACAGGCCGGCCTGCTCTGAATCCAACTCCATGATCACTCCGCTCCAACATCACGCCTCCTCCCTTCGCCTCTGCTCCCCCTGGCCTCCCTCCATCTCCCACCCACACTGCACCGCATCCCCTCATCCCCTCATCCCCACATCACCACCCACTGCGCCTCCCCTTCTTCTTGGCGCCTCCCCTCCTCACCCCCACACCCCCCTGCGCACCCGCACCCCCCGCACCCCCGGCCACAAGGTGCTTGTGGGCGCGCCACTGCCCCGCCACCTTGAGCGCCCTGGGGTCCACAAACCCCAGCGCCGCCACCGACCGCTGCCGCCGCCCAAACAGCACCCCGTGCCGAAAGCTCTGGGCGGCGCGCATGATGGCCCGTGCTGCCTCCTCGCCCTCTGGCGCCGGCGCGCCTGCCTGGATCACTATGGCCCCGTCCGACCTGCTCCGCAGCCAGGTGGAGAAGAGGGGGATGAGCGGGAGGGGGGATGGGGAGTGCAATGAGAGGGTTGTGCAGAGGAGAAAGGGGTTGGGGCAATGCAGCAGGTGTCTTTGCTTGGACCACTACAGTGCTGTGGGTAGTGCAGTATGCGCGATGGAGAGGGCGCAGGTGGGGGCGGTGGGTTGACTGGGGCTATGGGAGGAAGAGAGGCAGCGAATGGCATGTGGTGGAAAGGGCAAGATGACCGACTGAGAAAAAGCGATCCGGGCTGGCCATGTGGGCGCGCGAGGGGATGTGGAAGAGTGCGGTGAGGACAAGTGGAAGATCACACCACTCTAGGAGAGCAGTGCTGCCTGCCACAGCACCCACTGCCTGCCACAGCACCCACTGCCTGCCACAGCACCCACTGCCTACCACAGCACCCACTGCCTACCACAGCACCCACCGCGTGCCGATGACAGCCGATGTGTGGCTCTCCTTCCCCCGGCTGCCGCCCCGCCCCGCCCGCTGCTTCTTCTCCCTCACTGCCGCCCGCTCCCTCTCCTCCTGCGCCTCTGTGAACCTGCAGCGTGGGGGAAAAGGTTGGAGGGTTGGGAAGGGTGACGTTAGAGTGAAGAGAGGAAGGTGAGCAAAGGCAGCATGGGGTGTGGGTAAAGACGATATCATAGCGTTTTTCACCGCCATCACCGATCCAAGGAATATAGATCCCCCTATCCCTTACGCCCCCCCTACTCCCCCGTCCCATTCCCTATCTTCCAGAGCACCCCCATACTGTGCGCGCACCTGGTGTGCTGGCGCCGTGTGACGGCAGCAATCACGTCCGCGGGAAGCAAGTCGCCCCCCTCCACCGCGCCCTCCCCCAACGCCCCTCCCTCCCCCTCCCCTGCTCCCGCACCGCCCTCCGTCCCCTCCTCCCGAGCACCGTCCCTTGCCTCTGCGGGTACCAACGACCCCGCCGCCTCGTCTCCCCCCTCCGCCGCCCCCTTCCGCCGCGTGCGCCTATCCGCGCGTCCCTCCAGCTCGCGCCTGCGCTTCGCCTTCCCCCCCGCATCCTTGCTCCGCCGCTCCTCGCCGTCTCCCTCTTCCCCTCCCTCCCCCTCCTCTCCCTTCGCTGCCAAGCCTGCTCGCTTTTGCCGAACCTTTCTGTCAGCCTCGGCAACCCTGCAGGGTGGGGCGGCGGGTAGAGGATCGGGATGAGCGACGCAACGGCGGGGGGCATATCGGCGGAGGAAAAAGCTCAAATGAAAGACGCGGCTAATTGCAACCAGTGGGGGCATGCCACGTCACTCCACAACGTGGTGTGTACTCACATGCGGCGGGCTTCCGCCTCCTGCTGGCGCTGCTGCGAAACCCGTTCGCGTCCCTGGTAGCGCGGGGAGAGGAGAGGTACAGAGAGGGGTTAGGGTTTGAGGATTCTACTCAACGATGCGCCAATCTATTCAGACGCAGTGGAGCGACGAGAGAAAAAGGCGAAACGCAGCGATGGGCAGGGGAGAGACGGCGACTGTGGGCGGGCACCTGCGACAGAGTGAACTCCTCGGGCGCATCGTCCGAATCGCTATCGTCATCCTCGTTATCGTCTTCTCCCGCCATTTCTCCCTTTACAGCACCAAATTCAATCGCAGCCGCCCGTTCATGCCCTAACTCGTCATTGCTCTCCTCGTCCCCTGAACCCCCTTCCTCCGCTGTCCCTCCCCTCTCCGCCCCTTCCTCCTCCGCCCCTTCCTCCTCCGCCCCTTCCTCCTCCGCCCCTTCCTCCTCCGCCCCTTCCTCCTCCGCCCCCTCCTCCTCCGCCCCTTCCTCCTGCGGTCTTCTCTCCTCGTCCTCCTCGCGGCACTCGCCGAGCGCCGTCACTGCATCGCCATCGCGCTCCTCCTCGTCGGATACGTACTCAGGTCGCCCCATCACTACCCCACACGATAGCAGCGCCTAGAGCGAAGTCCGTAAATGCTCCTTGTATCTGGCCTGCCGTCGTCTGTGCCGCCACACGTTCTCGTGACATAAAATAAACGCATCAATCACACAGTTAGGGTCAAACCCTCGTAGTTTGGGCCTGGGTCCACTTCACGCCTTCTCTGTACCCGTCTGGAATACGGCTCGGTAAGGTGAGCTATGGTATCATACCCTCATATACTAATAGATAGGTACATTACCCAAGAGTACATCTTATTTTGTATAGTTTGATCTTCCACACACTTCAAACAACACCATCGTTTCAAGCGTTGGAAGAAGCCTACAGAACAGAATTTATGTTACGAGCATGACGAAGAACATGTTACACAATGCAGTAATGTTACGAGCCAAGCCATGCTCGCAAGCCATGCAATCCAACACGAGCCCCGTTGTTCCAAGCTGCGGGATCTTACCTGCAGGGTCTGAGTCTCGAGCATTGGATTGTCTCGGCGTGTGGGAAAGTGAAGGGAAATTAGAGGAACACAGAAGAATGAGAAGTGGGGCAGACGTACGTATGGGGAGGGAATGACAGGGACGTATGGGAAGGAAGGGACATGGAAGAATAGGAAGAACGCGACAGGGACATGGAGGGTGAAGAGGTGGGGGGAGGAGTGTGGCATGGAGGGAATGTAGCAGGCAGAACAGGGCAGCAGGGAGTAGGAGATGAGGTAAGGGCCTGCACAAAGGAAATCATGGGAGCCAATCTGAATGCCTGCTCAAGATAGCACACTACACAGTGGAGAATCTATTAGTCGGGAGTTTGATGATAAAAGCAGTGTAGACACTGCACTCCGCTCCGAATTGCTGCTGCCACCACCGCTTCTGCGGCTACTGCAGATGTTGCCAACCAAGATACACTGCTAATGGTCTCTTCCGATTTGCTGCACTTGTCCACCACCACATCCCGCAGCCGAGGCAGCTCAAGCAACGACCGGGGGAGTGATTTCAAGCTACTCAAGCGTGTGAGTGTGAGCTCCGTGAAGCATTCGATGCGCGCGGCGGTGTCGAACATGGTTCGGAAGTGGAACTTGATCAGCTCGGGATGCTTGGCGCCTAGGGCGGAGAGGAAACCCTCGGGAATAGGCGTTAGGCTGCGATCCGACAGGATGAGTTCTGTGAGCTTCGGGAATGCCGAGAGCTCGGAGAGCAGTCGGCGCGCGTCCATGCGACGGTCGGCGCGCAGCTGAACGGCATCCTGCGCGCGACACGCCGCGTCGCACCACTTCTTGAACACTAGCGCGTGCTGGAACCTGCCGAGTGCAGAGGCTAGATGGAGGATTCTCGCAAGCAAATGGTCTGAGAGCCGTTGGATCGGGGAGTCGTCCGTCATAGCGAGGGAGCTACGGCGAGTGAACGGCATGGTGGGTACCTCTGAGGAGCAATCGTTACTAATGAGGAGCAGGAAGCGAGCTGGTCCGTCATTGCCAGCCCTCCCAGTGAAAGTACAGCGGGGAATAGCAAAGGCAAACCTTATATGGTATGTCAAACATTGTATATGTTTGTGTTCTGTAGGCTATAGTGGGTTTAGCCTTAGGGGGTACAGTTTCTAGGTTTTCCTACTTGTACTCCCAATGTTGCTAGTTCAAACACTTCTCTCATTCTGACATGGTATCACGAGCCTAGGTTAGGAACCTAGGACCGAACGTTCCTAAGGGCCCACCACTGCTACTACTGCCTACTACCTGTGCGCCCTCGTGCGCTTACTGCCTGCGCCCTTGTGCGCCCTGTTGCTAGTTGCGCGCTGCCCACTAGCCTCGCACGCAGCCCCTCGCGGCCCCGTGCAGCCCCGTGTGCCGCCCGCCTGCCTACCCGCGCCCTCGAGCGCCTGCCTACCCGCGCCCTCGAGCGCCTGCCTACTCGCGCCCTTGAGCGCCTGCCTACCCGCGCCCTCGAGCGCCACCCTGCCGCCCTGCCCTGCAGGCCGCGCGCGGGCCTGCTCTGCACCCGCGCAGCCGCCCCTGGACCCCGCGGCGCGGCCCCTGGAGCATGCGACGCGTCGCCCTGCTCGTCGCGACGCCTCTGCGGGACCCGGGCGTCGCCCCTGCCTCGTCGCGACGCCCCTATGGGACCCGCGCGTCGCCCCTGCCTCGTCGCGACGCCCCTGCGGGACCCGCGCGTCGCTCCTGCCTCGTCGCGACGCCCCTGCGGGACCCGCGCGTCGCCCCCGCCTCGTCGCGGCGCCTCTGCGGGACCCGCGCG